TTAATTTATTCATTATTTTTTATTTTTCAATATTTTTATATTAGTTATTTAAATATATTTCTATAAATATTCTTTATATAAATATTTTAAAATTTAATTCGTTTAATTAAATAATCAATAATTCTTTAATCGATTAATTTCGACAATTTATATATATGTAATATTTTATTCAAATTTATGGTTTATATATATATATTATATCTATAAATTAATAAATATATGTTAATAATTTTTATCTTAATTTAATTTATTTTCAAGATATATATTAACATAATAACAAATAAATATATATCTATTCAATACACATTCAATAAATATAAATATTATTTATTAAATTATAAAAAAAATAAATATATTAATAATATAATATACAATATCAAAATTTCAAAATATAAACATGTTTTTATACTTTTTTTTGGATATAATTTAATCATGATAGAATGAACATCTAATTACAACCATTCATTTTCTATCAATATAAATTATAATCCCCCAACCCGCTCTTTCTAAATATTTAAACTATATTTTTCAAATATATATTCCGATTCTTTCATTTCCTTCTTCATCATCATAATTGTGGATCAATCGAATAAGATATGTTATTTTTGATGCCTGTTGGTTCAAGGCACGAAGGACACCAAACAGGCGACTTCGGGGTGGGGTGCCAGCGCGGGCGTACCGTGCAGTGGAGGAACCTTGGGGACCGCCAAGGTGGTATGGGCGTAAGCCGCTGCCGCTCCGTCGAATGGGGTCACGGAGATGGCAGGAGCTGCTGTGCAGGGCACAGCTGAAGCGATGCCGGAACACACTACAAATCCTTTACAAGCTCAAGATCCTTGGGCTGGTTCCTTGGAAGCGAGTGGAGATGGGAACACTCGGCCCCCCTCCAATGAGTCGGTCAGTGGTGGAACTATAACGTCGGCTAGCCAGACTACCTCTCCTACCCCTTCAACACACCCTTCGACTTCTCCGATGGCTTCCACCTAGGATGATTCTTGGAGCCGCCATGGCTGGTGGGGATCGTCCAGCCAATGGCGTTGGAGCAAAGGCGATGGGCAGTGGTCTCAGGACTAGGCCTCCAGCTCCTACGGATACAGGTGACTACTCCGACCCGCCGGGTTGGGGACATCGGCGATATTGGGTCAAGTCCATTCGCCGTTGGGACAAGGTTTCAGATCTCCCAGTGTTGCTCGTCGTGCAGAGAAGGTCCTCCGATCACTTGGCTGGGAAATGCAAGCTGAGTTTGAACATGTACCTGAATCAGTGCTAGCCTCTTTGGTGTATTTGCACTCGGACGTTATCCTCGAGATCATCAACAACAGGGCAGGAGTTGCGGAGGATGACGAGAAGAGAACAACGTTCAGAGCAACACTCACGGAGCAGGCCAAGCAGAAGGACGAGTCAAGGGATTTCAGTCAGCCGGCAACTTTGGGGATGGTCATTCCTAACCCCTTTCGTGCAGCTTTCCTTCGAGAAGGTGCTGGCCTGAGTGAACAGAACATGCAGAACCTCACGGTGCTCCTGCAGGACAAAAGACGATGATCCGAATGCCGTGGCAAAGGCTCTTGGTCGCTTAGATGTCCGTGCCAAGCGGCTGACTGGCTTTGTCCAAGCTCCAACTGAGAGCCATGAGTCTCACTCAACGCACTCACTCAGCAATCTTTTGCGGTGGCTTTTGCATGTCAATCAATAACTTAATAGTTAGAAGAGGCGAACGCAACACTTTTACATAAAACGTGGAACATTAAAGGGCAAACCACAAGGCATACAAACAGTGGTTTAGTCCTATCAGAGTCATTGGAAAACTATCCATTGCTGTTGGAACATCCATGGTCATTCAAATCATTGTTCACCCACACACAGCCTGCGAAAAGCAATTGAACATAATCTTAATCTTAAAAACATGATACCACCACAACATCAGCAAGAATTTTGTACCTTTCCAATCGGCAAAATCACATCAACTTAGAGGAAACCATTCTAAGAATGAAATAAGGCAAACAACAAGAGGGGTATAAACCATCAACCACACTTTAGAGTCCGGCTTGCTAGCAAAACCATACATTTCAAAACACATAACAACATTTATTTAATTAGCATTCATTATTCGAATAACTTTGTCGACCCATTATAACTAGATATATACTATGTCGATAAATGCAGCAAACACACACTTAGACAATGGGTTTGCATTGCGTCCACCAGAGGTGGCTTTATTCTAGAAATCAAGAAGCTAAAAAAAAACAAACCAAAAGACCACCAGCAAAACAAAGAGCAACCAAGAAAGAAAGAACAACAAAAATAAAGCAATCAAACGTGCAACCAAAAAACACAAGCGAAACAAACAGCAACCAAGAAAGCAAAAAAACAACAAACAAACAACCAAAAGCACACAAGCAACACACAGAGGGTAGTTTGGAGGGGCCGGGTAGGGTTAGTACTGGACAAGGGTCTTTTCTGGTGCCGGGTCAAGTGTCGCACTTTTGGTCGTTATTTTTTCTCTGGTGCCGGGTCAATTGTCGCACTTTTGGTCGTTTTTTTCCCCGGCGCCGGGTCAGAGTCGCACTTTTGGTCGTGTTTTTGAAATAATTTTTTCCGGGGCCAAGTAAAAAGTCGCACTTTTGGGTCGCGTTTTTTCCGCTCTTTTTTCGTTTTATTTTTTTGAAAAAACGGAAAAAGAGCGAAAAACACACGACAAAAAAGCGACCAAAAATGCGACTTTTTACCCGGCGCCGGAACAATTGCAAAAAACAGCCAAAAGTGCACCAGAAAGTGGGCCCTCCCCCAAAAGTGCGCCAGAAAGTGGACCCTCCCCCAAAAGAACGCCAGAAAGTGGACCCTCCCTCAAAAGTGCGCCAGAAAGCGCGCCAGAACGTGGACTTCCAAAAAGTGCGCCAGAAAGCCCGGCTGAGTTGTTCAATTTTTGCTTGCAATTTGGTTTGTTTATTTTTTTGCTTTTATGATTGCTTTGTTTTTCTGGTTGCATTTTGGGGTTGCCTTTTTTTTGCTATTTTTTCTTTTGGCTTTTGAGATTTTTTTTTTTTTTGGGGGTGCTTTTTTCAAGATGCTAAACTTCTAGAATAAAGGGGTCTGGCAGACAAAAGGGTTGCAGTTAATTCAATTCCACGAGAAAATGGTGAGGGAACGGAAAGGCGAGAAGGTCAGCTCACTTGAAGTGTTGAAAGCTCTGTTTGTGCACATCTGCGGCAAGTCAGGCGGCCCACGAGCGGCAGAACGCTGCGTAGGGAAACCTGTTTAGGGAAATAGCATGAAGAACCACCATGAAAACAAGGAACAGCAAGGAACAATAGAGTGTTGTCACTTGCAGGTACACAGGGCTGATCAGGCCCTGTTTCCCACTCTCGCCCACAGCTTCGTTGCGTGTGGTAGGGCGAGAGTGCCACACGCTCCTGCACTTAACAAAACACTCTTCGGGACAGAGTGTGACACACACAGAGCGCCGATATCGACGCTCGAGAGAAAAATACTAACCACCTAAAAAGCATTAGAAAGAAAGGAAAAGAAAAGACAGAAAGAGAAACGCAAAGGGCAAGAGAGAAAGATGGGTGTAGTTACGAGGCCCACTAGTTACGAAACCTTCTAGTTACTGACTACCTAGCACTCTAGTTACTGAATACTTAGCCCTTAACTTGAGGGAATGGCAAGAAATGCTGGGTCCGATCAACAGAAGGTTTCAACAACAACTAATTACTGACTACTTAGCGGTTCTTAATTAGGTGCACTAGTTAGCGAGCGGGACATTAGTCTTAAACCGCCCGGGTAGATAGGACTAGGACAGGAGAAACAGAAGGAAAGGCACGGACACATGAGTGTGTCGAGTACCATTTCCTTCTGTTACCCTAGATATCGGGTGGGATAAAAGTGTGAATTCGCGTGCAAGGTGGGGTGTGTGTGTGTGCATGGAAAATTGGAAAAGTTCAACTGCATATCACTCGAGCCATGAAAGCTCTGGAAAGAAACTCCGTAAACCCGGCGGTGTCGAATCTCCTTAAACTCGGCAGTGTTGTGGCAGGAAATTCATTGGGTGAAACAAAATTCATCAAACCAGAATCCACGATGGCTGCACTTCGAGTCAGAAACACGGTGGCTTCAGCGCCTCTCTTGCGAGAGGATCACGCTCTGCACCCAGTGGGACGACAGAGCGGCACACACTTAGACAATGGGTTTGCAGTTATCTCAGCTCCACGAGAAAATGGTGAGGGAACGGAAAGGCGAGAAGGTCAGCTCACTTGAAGTGTTAAAAACTCTGTTTGTGCACATCTGCGGTAAGTCAGGCGGCTCACGAGCGGCAGAACGCTGCGTAGGGAAACCTGTTTAGGGAAATAGCGTGAAGAACCACCATGAACACAAGGAACAGCGGGGAACAGTAGAGTGTTGTCACTTGCAGGTACACAGGGCTGATCAGGCCCTGTTTCCCACTCTCGCCCACAGCTTCGTTGCGTGTGGTAGGGCGAGAGTGCCACACGCCCCTGCACTTAACAAAAAACTATTCGGGACAAAGTGTGACACACACACACACACACACGTGCATACTCTAACCATGTCATAGTCATGACATACGGCTGCAAAGCAAGACCACTATGACAAAATACAGTTGCAAACAACACCTCCTGGAGCTGAAACCGTGAGATGAGCAAGGTTCGGGACAATGTTGGTCCGGCCTTCATCACTTGCACTTCTGTTCACCATAATTGCTTCAGAGATACTTTCATAAAAAGGACTCATGGCCCCCAAGAACCACCACTCTTAAACGACAACCTTTCAAAACATGGTTGTGCATGTCCCATTTGTCCCCCTTGATGACGGACAAATATGACAGCATGCCTGGCACCCAGAGTCAAGTCATTATGTGTGCCCACTCCTATTGCAGTTCCAATCTTCTGTTGATGAAGCAACAGTCAACAATCCAGCGTGATTCAGCTTGATCGTCTTCATTAAACTATATAGTTCATTACGACTATATATATATATATTCTTTTTTGGAAAACACACCATTCAATTTGGACCCTTGCCCCCTTGGCAGTCCATTGGAAGGTGTACACAATAAATATATGAAATCAATTGCCAGTCACCCACTGATGTGGTGACCTTAAAAACCAATCAATTCAAGGAGGAAAGGCTCCAGCGAATCCTTCAAGAGTTGTAGCTGTAGCTCACCTGATAAGCTTACAAGAAACACAAGAACGCTCTAGGGCTAGAGTTCAGTCTCCTGATAATATCATCACGAGCTTCCGAAGAGCCTCAGCACCCAACATACACAAGTCTTTGCTTCTGTCAATCTTTCAATGTTCGGATAAATGCATCTGAGAAAGCAGCTTTGACAGCTTCTCCACTGCCTTACTGGAGAGGGAGCTCACCTGCGGAACAAACTGTGGCTTAGAGGAAAGCCCTCACACACACAAAGGTGGCTCATAGAAGAAATATTCATGAGGAGTCAATGAAGAAGCTGCATCTTCGCGAACCTGCTTGTTGGTCAGGAATGCCTTCTGCAAGACCTTCACAACACAATTCTCACCAACGTGATGATATCTTTAAGGGGCATTCATGAGGCCAAGCGACCGTTTCCCAGGCTGAAAAACATGTCACAGCAGTCTAAGAGCATCTCCCATGCTGCGACGAGCACGATCGCCAAGTACGCGTAGAAGAACCTTTGTGCCGGCCGTCTGCCACAATAAGCACAAAAGCAGCGCAACAAAGGCCACAACTGCGGACCGACCACTGCCAGCATGGTCCCTCCAAAAAGCTTGGTTGCAATCACCTGGCGCACCACAGGCTGTGTCCACAAGCTTCCTTTGGAAGTCTTCAAGCCCCTCTTAGGAGTATATTGACATTTCAGTCACACAAAAGAATGTGCAATACGGTGTGGTGTCCCTTGAGGTAAGGTGTAGCCCTGTGTGACGACACCATTGAACAATCTTACCTTTGTGCGGCCCAAGAAAATACAAAAGCTCAACCAAAAAACTACTGTAGATAGGAACACAAACATGCAAACACAATAGAATGCATATATTAAATGGCGAGCCTGGACTTGTCCTATTGACAAGCCCTTTTCTTGTTGAATCTATAATTTTGCCATTACATCGTTGCGCTGGCTGTTTTGCGGTTAGGCCAGAAAGCCGCCCAAAGACCATGAACCGGTGCAAATTGAAAGCACAAACTGATGGATCGGTGTATCTGTGCGTGTTGTTGCGGTCGCACTGAAATCAAACCAGTATGACGGCTCAAACATTGAAAAAGGGTGAGCGTTTGATACCCAGTTTAGTGTCGATGCATGATCTGCAAGCATCGGCAACAATTCACAAATAGAGATGATGTCTATGCAAAACAGCATGCACGTGCGAGCACATGCTAAAAATGGCGTGTCGTGCATGTAAAGATTAAAAGCAACCACCTCTTTGTTGTCCATGTTTTTCCTTTCCTTGGCATGTTCTTCTATTGTCGCTAGTGCTCCTTGCTGACAAGGACTAACAAGTGCAACAAACATGTAGCGTGTTTAGGGTAGGAATCTTGATCTAGGTGGGTGCAACGTGCAACGCCACATTGTGCTGACGATGCTCAAAGCCTGTAGGTTGCTATGTTGTGCCACCGCTATGATGTCGCCCCTCCAAGCATCACAGCATATATACTTCATCCTGATCACATAAAAACCCGCACAATGGGCATGCACACACACATGTATATAAATATATTTAAACCTCATTCATCAACTACCAGTTTTTGTCAAGCTGGTTGGTAACATCTCAAAGAGATCGACTCAATCGACCCGTTTTGCACCACCCGGACATACCCACAAACTCTCAAAACGAGTCGTTTACCATGGTGATGTCAGCATCCTGTTGAGACTTTAGATCATTAGAAGTCCCCAAGCTTGCTGTTTGTTGCTTTAGGCTTACGAGAACTTGAGGGGAGAGGGTGGACGAAAGGGAAAGGGAAGAGAAGAGAATTGAAAAGAAGAGAAGAGAGAAGAGAAGAGAGAAAAGAAGCAAAATAACGAGGCGAAGCTCGTTACGAAACCAATCACATCAAATGAGGAGGAGGGAGGAGAAGCTCAATACGAAGATATGAAGCCAATCACACGAAGCCATGGTACAATTGAAGGAAAATTCACCCGCCCCAGGGAGAGTTGATCGCCCTAGAAATGGACTGTTAGGAATTATGCGGCAAAGCCCTATCAAACAACAACAACAACAACAGCAATATCAACGAACCCCGCGAACTCCGCAAACCCTGCGAACCCGGCGAACGGACCTCGCGCAGACCACGCGGGCTGCTCATACTACCACAACCTCTTCTACGGCGACCATATTACTACCACTCTACTCGTACTTGCACTACTTGAGACATTTGCTTCAACATGTAGTTAGCTAGAAAGTCTATAAAGAAAAGGTCATGAAATCACGCGAACACAGTGGACCCCGCGAACCCCGCGCACCCTGCTCATACTAACAACCACTATTATTACAGTACTTCGACAATGACAACGACGACGACTACTCCTATGTATATATATATATATGTACTATGTAACTTTTGGTTCACAATTGTGCACAAAAAGCCTATAAACAAGACGTAAAACCATACAAACTTCTTGAGAGGAGCAAGCATTTTATGCACATGCGTCCGATGCTCATCCCAATCTGTTCTATTCACATACTTTTTCTACTTGCCAACGCGCACGAGAAACATTGCCTTTTTGTAAAAGACTTGTCCGATGGGTCCATGCACCACCTTGGTACAATTTTTGGTCAATGTTGCAAGTTCACCTCCGATGCTCAGTCCGTACCAATCGCAGTACCCCTGCCCGTGGACAGTGCCAGTCAGGGATGCAAGTAGTGGTGATCGGTTCATCTAAGGCAAACGCAAAAATAGGAAAGGCAAGGTTGCCCAAAGCGACCAAGAACTTGCTTCCAAGACATTTTACCTGCAGCTAGAGCTAGGGCAGCAAAGTTTGCATCGACATGTGGGCTAGCGAATTATCTGGTGCTCTTGGTCAGGCACAACACCATCTTTCACTTCAGGAAGGACCTTGCACGCGCTCGTTGATGAATGATGCGAACACACAAATGAGCAGTCTTCTTGTACAAGCCCGAAGGGAGAGTTACCGCAAATGATGCTAAATAGAACACGTGGGCATCAAACTTGAAGCCGAGAAACACCATGCTTGGGCCCTGGCTGATGCCCGATGTGCACTCATCAAAAAGTACAAGAACAGGGGAATGAATACTAGTGCCTTGGCAACACTTATATGCATGCACCTAGTTGAGCTCTTAGCAAATGTTGGAAATTGCATTTTCACAATCTTTAATCATCTTTAATCCAATTTGCTCTTGCATACAACCAATGCCATTACCCGGGAGCTTTCAGCTCCATGCCAACACACCAGTCACCAGTACTTCTTTGGCGATCTGAGGGGACCACTCTGGTCAAAAGGTCACTCAGCTCCAAAACCTAGGAGCAATGCAGCAAGGAACATTCCAAGTCAAGCAATATCCAATAGCACGACAGCAAGATGCAGCAAGAAACAATGCATAACATGACCATGACTCTAGTCTCATGGCCGTTCGACTTGGTGGCGCACCCCCATGGCACGCAGAACCACTACAGCCACCTGCAATTCGCTGCGTCGAGTCAAGATCTTTTGGACTCTGTCAATGCACTATTATTGTACGGTCTCTTGCATGGCCTAGGGCCTAGGCCCTTGCGTGGTGCAATGCGAAAACTGCTGCACTGTGTGGCCTTTTTAATGACTATTTGAAGCATTCTGCAATGTCGTGTGCTGATGCCATTGTCTCTGTATTTGTAAAGTACATCTTCCGAGTGTTCTTGGAAAGGACTCGAATCCAACTTCCAGGCAGCTCTGTGGCTCCAGGAAAAAAAGGTTCCTTGCTGCGCCCTCCAATCTTTATTTGTTTGTGGCAATTGATCTGATGCAGCGTTAAGCCACATGCTCTTCATACGGGTTTCAAGCTCAGAGCTGGCCAACCTTGCAGCCTCCAACTCACTTCCGTTGGAGCCCCAGCCATCCTGACCTTGTTCTTCATCATTTCCATTCCTTGCCTTGCCTCAGCTTGCTAGGTTTGAAGGCTGGTTCTAGCAAGTTAATGTGTGATTTGCACCATCTGCACTGGCACATGCGTCCTCTTGTGACCTCAACGGACAAAAAATGGATGTGCATATATGTATATGTTAACATATAGTATATTGAAACTTTTATGTCATGCATATACCGCAGACCTGTTACCTGGGCCTAACCGCACTCTCCACTATATAAGTAAAACTATATATATATATATACAGTATATATATATATATGCTTCCGAAGGGCCGCTCCACGAGCTCGAGTCTTTGGAGTTGCCTTGTGAATCCTCTTGCCAAGTGCTTGTACTCTTGTGGCCCTGCCAAGCTTGCCAGCTGTTTTCCTTGCTTCTCCAATTCTCCTTGTTCCAATTGCCGTCCTTGTGACCTTGCCATGCATTCTGCTGCCCACTATCCCACTTGCCTTGATCTTGCTTGTCGGATGCCCAACTCTGCTTCTGGTCCTCTCTCCTCCAAGGCTCCTGCTTATCATCCTTCCAAGTTTTCTCACCTTGGTGATGCTTTTTCCAAGGTTCCTGGCTGTCATCCTTCCACGTATTCTCCTTCCAGCTCTTGCCATGAGTCTGGCCTCCTGTGTGCCAGCTTTCTTTCTGCCACACCTTGTTCTGTCGTCCCTTTTGCCACTTTTGTCCGGTGGAGGCTCTGCCTACTGCGTCTCGCAAAAGCGCTTTGAGGTAGCGCTGCACCACCACAAGACCTCCTCTGCCACTTGTCGGCGGATCACGGCTATAGACGCACATTGCGGGTGGTTTTCGTTTGCTGTACTCTGGCCGGACATCCTTCAGCTCAACAACAGTTTCCACAACTCGCTGCTCGTGCTCGTATTTGATCTTTGCTTGTTGGTTCTCACCCAAGGATCTCCTGACAAAGGTCCCAATGCTCCACGTACCTTGGGATTCTACACCTGGATTTTTCCACAAGAACTCGACCCTCTCACCGGACTTGTATTGATGTTGAGTATGGTCATCCCGCAGGAACATGTAGACCTTGGCCTTCTTTTCGGCCTTTTCAATGAACTCTTCACTCAATATGTTCACTTCCGCTTCGGTCAACTCCACCTCTCCAAGTTCTCGCCTGATGCAACGGCAAGCATTCTACAACAGCAAACTGTCCTGTCTGATGTGATCAGTACCTTGCAACTAGCCTGACATGCCATGCGGAACCAAAACCCCCTCACTTCAACTGGGATGAGACCGGATGAGATTGCTCCTATCTTGCCTGCCCTAAATGCATCTGAGCATAAGCAAGGACAAAAAGGGGACGATCAAACACCTTTTTGTGGAGGTGTTCTATTCTGCTCTCGTGAGGGCAGCAACAGCTACAAAGTGGCCAAGGTGCTGTGGAATCAAAGGTGCCAAAGCATTGCCTTTCTGATCAATTGCCCATGCAAGCAAAAGCTTTGCACTCTCAAAGGCCTCAGTGTCGCCAAAGAGCACGAGGTTGCCTCCAATGACTTCTAGACCACACCTTGCTGCTCGAGCAATACGCTTGCTCACCTTTTGACATAAAGTGGCTCCACCAGGGGCAGGTTCTACAGTCTCCAAGTGGCCACCCCCACGGAAGAGCAGCTTGCGCACTTCTTGCGAAGCCTTCAAACCGCCGTCTTGGGAATTTTCCCCAGACCTGGCCAAGAAATGTAATGCTGCACAGCCACGCCTCCAGGCGGAATGGCTATAGCACACCACTTCGCTGGCAGCGCTTCGAACCTCTTCTTTGGCATGCCGGGACGTGGTACCGTCTGGCCAGGACACCTTAATTTTGCCAGACTCTTCGTCATCATCCGTCTTCTGGGCTTCGTGCCACTTTCCGGAGTAAAATACTTCCAAAAGGGCACCCTCTTCGAGCTCAGAAACATTGGAGATTGCTTCCTTTCCACGACTCAGTAGGATCAAGACCTGGAGATCTTCTTCCACAGGCAAGCAGTGTCCTTGCTTTCGATTGAGAAGGTCGTCAATGCTGGCCCGATTGGATTTGATCCTCTGGCTGAACCGCCCGTCCTCTTGACCCGCTGGCAGCTCTCCAACGTTTTGATGAGCTTTCTCCAAATCCCGGATCATGGCAGCGGCACTAGATCTTGCTTTGGTTGATCCCGTCGCAAAGAACATAAGGCCCACAAAATTCACTGCACATCCGCTAGCCAGCTGGAGCACCTTTTCAACATAGTTGGAGTACTTGTCGACAAAGGTCTGGTCCCTGCAGTACCTGCGATATGTCCCCCAGTCCTCATCATGGCCTAAGGCCAATTGGGAGTGGAGTCCGAAGTCACAGCCAGGGCTGAGCTTCCAAAGGGCTTTCATAATGATCAGCTGCACTATGGTTCTCTTGCCCCGGTCGCCAAAAATTGCGACGCGGTCAAACCTGGAACGAAGCTTTGACACCTCTACTTCTTTCTGACCGCGTTCAATGCGGACCCATACCCGATTCTGAAAGGCTTCTGAAGTGATCTCAGCCGGGGTCCAGCTCTGTTCCTGCACCTCAACTAGGGCACCTTTCACAATCTCCAAGTCACCATGCAAACGTGCTGGGAGTACCAGGACTTGGTGCGTCTCACTCAAAGTCTTCATCCATTCTCGATCCTGGTGCCGAATTTCTTCCCACTTCACCACAGTCATGAAGTTGTGCCGCCGGCTGTCATCCACGATAATGCCTCCATCTTTGTTGAATTCCAAAACTTTGGACAGGAGCCTCGGCAAACACATGTTTACTGTTCTTTAAGGCGGGCTGGACACTGCTTGTCAAGTGAAAGGACAGCAGGAAGAAGACTGGTAAATGGAGGACACGCTCCTCTGCAAAAACCATGAGGCACGCACTGCAACTGCAGAATTCTAAAGAGATCATCTAGAGATGCATCAGCAAGGGCCGGAGATGAGTCAATATTTAGATCTGAATTCACTGTTTCCCTAGTCAGATAGATAGTGGAGCCTTGACATACTGTAGAAGGTGGGACTTTAAGATAACATAGTGACCCACTCAGGGGGTGAAAGACATACAAAACCCATCTCGAATAAACGTCCATCAAGAGAACAAAAGAGCATATCTGGGACTCATCACGCGGCCGATGCAGGCAAATTGGCAAACATGCGAGCCATTGCACAGCAACTGAAAGCGAGGGGCATTGAGGTGTGGTTTTTGAACGTCGCTGTTTCCGCGGAGACCAGTGCCATGTCCAACTGCAGCTCGATTTTGGCATCAGTGGTGCTCTCGATAATGCTACACCAGCTGGGGCCACCGGGCCAAAACCTGAGCTCGGACATTGTCACGTGTTTTCTCTTTTCTAAAAAGCAGGTTTCCTGTTTTCTTTGTTGCTTTAATGACGTTTAACCCAAAGCAAAGAACACCAGCGCCATTTGTCCGTACACCTGAGGACTAGCAGACTAGCAATACTGAAACATACGAGGAGCTTTCTATCGAGAAATTCGGCCTGACCGTCTTGCAGTGGAACTTGCTCTGTCAACTCTTCTGATTCATCTTCCCAATTTGCTAAAGGCGTTTCAGCCACCAAACTAGCTGCTGCCACCAAGCTTACCTCTTGAGCAGTACTCATCTCAGAGTCATCTAGACCATCAATGCCCAACAAGTCCTCTTCAACTTCCTTGTCTGAATCAGCATCTGCGTCTACGCCATAAACGGCTTCAGCATCGGCGTCTTGAACACCTTTAGCTCTCTTCGGAGGCGGTCTGGCAGGTCCCTGTTTTCTCTTCCTCATTCCGGGCATGTCAGATTTTTCGGTCTTTTGTTCTGTCTTGGCCGATCTATCCTTCTTGCCTTTCCCATCTGCAGGGTCCATCTTGGCCTTTTCGGCCTTTTCCTTCTTTGCTGGGCTGGCTTTGGGGTTTGACTTTGGTCGTTTTGGAGAAGGCTTTTCAGGAGAGTCAGGGACTCGAGGGTTTCTCTTCTTTCGTTCTGGCGACTCGGGCTTCCCTTTGGAATCCTCGCTCTCAGAGAGAGAAACTGAAGAGCCCGAATCGATCTCACCTTGTATCGCTGCAATCTTCTTGTCTGCCAGGTCGGCAATGTCATCACTAAAGCAAATGAGCTCGCGCAAAGTGTCCACAACCACTTCTGGACACCCACCCCCTTTTTTGGACGGTAGTTTCACCAAATGCTGCTTGATGCCTCTGGTGTTTCCCGGAGCTGAATCACCGCAAAAACCACAAAACCAGACTTTGGTTTTGCCAGTGTTGCCAACCTTGATCGACTTCTGCAGAGTACGACCCTTCACTTGGATCTCAATGTCTTGGTCACCTGGCTTCACAAAGGTACCTATCCCTTCGGCCCATTGCTGAATCTCAGCAGCCATCTTTGTCTATGCCAATGGCTGTGATGTGATGGTCTAGAGTCTGTATCAAACTTTGTTGTCCCACATGTAATGGATTTTGAGGTTCGAGTACTGCGCAAGACGCAAACAAACTCTGTATAATATATATATATCTTGATATATCTGGCTCTTCTTGACTATATCATGTTACAAGATGGCTCAGCTGTTCTTGTGGCACAGCCACACAAGTCTGATGAGCCTGTACGCTGCAAACACCCGGGGTGGTAAACGCGCAGTGACCCACAGCATAGACTTCAAAGCACACTGTCAACATGTCGGCTGATAGCCGATGCACAGCCAATTCGCATGCAGTTTGATCAAACTGAGTTGTTATATTGCAAAATGGCACATGTCACGACATGTGAACCCCGGCCATGCCCAGCAAAGGAACCAGGGTACTGAGCACGTTCGTCTTGGGGGCCTAGGCACACTGTGAGAAGCATAATGGACATCCTGCCATGTTGAACACATGAGTCAAAAAAAGGTACACATCATTACACATAGAAGCGGCAGTCTTTGTGCCAGTCTCTGTGTTTTCTTCGATTCCCCGCCTTTTCCTCACCTTTGGCACCATCAAGCATGACCTCACCAGAGTAGAAGAAAGGGCCGAGGTCGGTACTAGGAAACGAGACCCGAAGATGAGAGCAGCTGCGAACAAAACTGACCATATAAACCTACCTACCTCAATCTAAGTAAGGTGAGGCTTGATGTATTTCGGCTTGTTAGTAGACTAGTAGCTTCTTGTTACTAGTAGCGATGGCCTCCACCTAGGACCTAGTGGCTTCCTGCTACTAGTATAGCTTCTTGCTGCTAGTAGCTTGAGTCAAGGGAGTAAGTAAGGCTACTGAGAAGCGCCATGATGTGACGTGGAGAGATGATATGGTGCAATGCAACCATAGCGGGCATCCCTTCCAAGACCGATGCTCTTTACAACATGGGTTGGACGAAACATATCTTAGTCCTGTCATGGCAAAGCATGCAGCAAATGGCTTGTGTCATTTATCGTTGTGGCGATGACCAGCCGTCCGGTGTCCTAGGTCCTAGTGCCCTGTGATGTGCAGTAGATACGTTGATCGACAGTATCTGACACGCTCATGTGTCGGGCTCCGAGATGACGAAGACTATTGTAGCATTTGTGATGACACAAGGCAGCCCCTTGAAGTCTTCAAAGGAGGAGCTCTATCGGGCACCGTCAACTAGTTGCTAGTAAATGCCTTCAGAACATGCATTGGTTGACCAACGCCCTTCAGCTTCCCACCCCCAACGGCTGAGTGTCCAACAAGTCGACATGCGACTGCTCCAAGCAATACCTGGTGGCACAAAAGGGATGACATTGGGAGGAAAAACAAAGAGGAGGATGCATTTTCTCAATCTATTTGAAGCCTGCACATGTAGCTATCCTTCCAAATCGATGTTCAGGCCTCAATCAAGGCGTAAAACGGGTTGAAGCGTTGCCTCAAATCAGTCTCAAGTGTGGATGGTGGCTGTCCACCTTACATCCATTTGACATAAAAGTTTGCAGCTGAAATCTGCGCGCTTGGCATGTTAAAGATTGCCAAGTTTGGCATTGCCTCAAACAAGCATGCCTACTTCGGCTTCCAAGGTTCAATTGGAAGATCCCATAAAATTTCATAAACTGCCTATGTGTTGCAAATTGAAGCGCTCTGCGCCTTTGGCGACATGGCTCCTTCCAGCATCCCCCAGGCCTGGATCCCACTCGAGCCAGCTTCTTCTTGGAGTTGTTAGCATCATGCTAAACAGTTCATTAGTGTATATGAACAGTGACCTGGTGGTCATAGCAGTAGCCCAGCCTAAGACATGCGTTTGCGAGTAAAAGCACGGGTGCAGGCGGTCACTGATTCCAAGAATTTCGTAGTGTCGCAAAACATGTTCCTCAAGATCTGGGTACGAGGCTTTGGAAGCAAGCCTATGAAGAAAAGCACGAGGCCAGTTCCTCAGTCAAAGCACGTCGAAGCAATCTCTCCTGTGTACAGGTGTGCCTAGTTGGCATCCAAGGACAAGGCTGCGAAGTTCGGATTTGCTTTGCTTGGCCAGAACTGGCAGCGCAAAAGGCAGTGCGGCCTTGAATTTGTCAGACAATGTGTTCTTGTGCATTCATGTGCCTTCTTCTTCTCTGTATGCACTGCAGGAGCTCAAGCAGCTCTCACAGAAAACCATCAGGGCCAAGCCATGGCGAAAGTCAAAGCTGAGAGGAACCATGTTGGAGCGTTCCAAACCTTTCACAAATCCAACTCTTCAATTGTCTAAGGCTGGGCTTTTCGGGCCTCTGCATGCATCGGGAACCAGGCTTGAAGCATACCAGCAGATAAAAATCCGTGCCTGTTGTGTGAAAGCAAAGCCGTGCGCTCTCTTGGTGGTCGGTCTTGTAACAAAAACGAGGCAGCACTGCCAGATTGCAGTGGGCCAGCCACTGAAAGTCACATCCGAGAAAAGAAACATGGGCCTCAAACGGGTATGACTATGAGGTGTTGTTTGCACAAATAGGGCTAATATAGTAATATATATATATATCTATTTTATGTTATATAGGTATATATAGGTTCTCATGGTGCACAGCTGCTTTGCAAGCGCTTTGACCACATGCTGTATGCTTGGGCTCTGTCGAGAACAGCAGCAGCACCAGCAAATGCAAAGGGTAATAGCCAAACACCTCTGGCAAATCAAGTTGGACATCTCGCCACACAGTCTGGAACTTGGACCCGTACACGCTGCAGAAACCACTTCGGTGGTGGCCTGGGCGTCTACGAGGAAATGAAAGGCTTTAGAGCCTCCCTACCCAAAGTGACACTTAAAGCCGCGGAAGGGTGCTTATATTCAACTTGATGCTGCAAACTACATGGCATTATTTTCTTTCTTTTCTGCTCCTGTAGCCCCGTTGCAGCACGGCAAATATGCACCCCTTGCATTGAGCAGTGTCAAGTGCAGCTTCTCCTTCCGAAATACGGGGGTGGAGTATCTCACGAGCCTTGCGCTCGCCATAGATATACTCGGAAAGCATGGGAAGTGGTTGATGAAAAATACGCCTTGCGCAGTTTCCAGCTATGCACACAATCTGATTCTAGGGCCGCCTGACGGCCGCACCACGCTTCACTACACCACAGGAAATGCCAGAATGCTACATTCATCTTCCATCAAGTATGCAAATGCACCCTCGGAGCCGCGCTGCTCCATTCCATCAATCTGTTCTCCAGGACTCAGCCAGCAATATTTCAAGGCTCCTTGCTTCCGGAAGTATGGGCTCACAATTTCTTGTAGGCGTGATTGGACAATTGATGTTGGCTTCAGCGTGATAGGCTTGCCAAACTGGACAACAGTCTGGCTTGGTAGGGTCGTTGCAGCGAAAATCTGACAAACTTCATCCATCTCACAGAAGGCAAATCCGCCATAAAGCATCAAGTGGCCAAAAAGCTTCAAACCTTCATCTTGCAAAGCTTCGCATTTCTGTAGGTGTCGTGTGAAACTGTCTGCAATCGCACGGGAAGGGTAAATCCAAAAGGCGCTCGTAGCGTTTTTGGGGATGGGAAGCTTGGCATTTCTGTGCCAAGTGACATCATGCCGCTGTGATGCCGACAAAATGATGCTCGATCCAAACATCTCAGCAATGCTTTTGCTGTCAACTTCTGTCACATCCAAGCAAATCGACACCTGCTCGACAGAAGCAACATTGAAGGCAACCAAGCTCGACAGTCTCGAGTCCAAGGTGCGAAGCCTGAGGGTAGGCTTTGATTGCGGGAAGGAGCTCGGGTCAAAGTAAGTCCTGGCAAATCTGTCGCTGATCACTCTCCAATTGCCTTTTGTGTCAACGGTTTCGAAAGCCACCAGGGTTGGCTCATGCCCTTCGTTGTTGATGCGAGCAACGAAGTCACACAAAGGAGTAAGCGTGTTGAGGGACTTGTCCATCGCCTGTTGGGCATTCCAAATGCATCAAAACAACCAAGCAAAAGGACCAAGTTTTGCTTCTTTGCTTCTTTACACTCAGTGCCCCAATTTCACGAGTCGGAAGTAGTCGGTCTCGGTTTATGGAGAGGAAAGGAGAGGAGAGGAGAGGAGAGCAAAGGAGAGGGACGCGGCCTCTATGCTGCTGGAAGCTCAGAAGTGCGGGCTTAGCCAGATCTTCAGCGGGATATGTTTTGCCCTTTTGTGCACCATCTATTTACTCCGTCGCGGTTCCTTTCGTTGCATCTTCAACAACCCTCAGAGTGTGCCCCGGGCGGGTGGAACAGTTCCAGTTCCAGTTCCAGTTCCACGTCGTCCAACACGGGAGACTG